AAAAGAAAAACAACAGATTGCCAAAATCTGATTTTGTCTTTTAGTGCTGTGCAGGAAAACCAAGTGCCAGCTCTTGGTGCTGAATTCTTACATCACAGCTTACACAGAATTGGCATTTCCATGTTCCATTACTCCCTGTCCAGTGGATGACTATCAACAACTGGAACTTTATGAGCAGACAAATAGTTTAAACTTTAGTCATGCTACAGTGCAAATCAAGGGATGTCCAATTCCAGCAGTCAGAGAGGAATGCAACTCAGCAGCAGTGGCCACCACGGGGTCCTTGCGCCTGCGGCACAGCCGCACTGCTTTCCCCAGGATGCAGAGTCCCCACTCACACACTGGACGGAGGCGGCATCTCTGCACCACTGCTGCACGTGGCCAAACTCCAGCCGGGTACCAGGGACCAGCGGCAAAGTGTGCAGCTTACTGCCTACAGCAACTCGGCTGGTCTCCTAGGTAGTAGATACCCCTTCTTCCCTCCCTTGGAAGCCCTGGCTGCTCTGCAGTCAGACGCTCAACTTCTGACATGACCTCGGTCCTTCAGGTAAGAAGATGCAGGTCAGCTTCGAGACGCAGCCCTGTCTGTCCTGGTGACAGGTGAGCTGATGAGGACACAGGAGAGGACAAACCCCACACAGCCTACACAAGAGAGGTCAAACTCAAGGCAAGGCTTCTACTGCCCACGCGCCCCTCTGCGTCGCCATCCTGCCAAAGCCAGCCAAAGTGCATCAGGGATCACCCCAGCCTGAGCCTCGTGCTGGGCACCTACAGCTGCAGGCCTGACACGCTCAGTGCTGAGGGCCTGCCTGCCCCACCCAGCACCCAAAGAGCGACATGTGCTAATGAAGCCATGTATCACGCTCCTTGCAGATATCACTGGTGAAAACACAGCAGAAGTTCCAAAATAACTGAACAGCAAATAATGGTTATTTTCCCAGAGTGGCTCTTTTCTGCCCTTGAATTCCTTCCCTGAGGACCAACCAACCAACTCAACAGCCCAGATGGATCTCAAAGGGACAGAACTGAGTGGGAAAGCCACTCTCAGTAGGTCACATTTTACACAGTCCCTTATACGACATCCTTGAGATCAAAAAATTAAGAGCTGGAGAACAGGTGAGCGGTTGCCAGGGCAGGGGCAGTGGTAGCTGTGGCTACCAGGGCTGGCACAAGGGAGCTCTGTGATGATGTGGGGTGTGTGCTGCAACCCGGGTTGGAGTGCAACCTACACTGCTAAGACTGCACAGAACCACACACACAAAAACGCGCACACATAAAACTAAGGAAGTCTAAACAGTCTTGATGGTGGGTTACATCAACGACAGTGTGTTGAAAATATCCTGAGTTGGGCCTGGTGACACACACCTATATCCCAGCACTTGAGGCAGGAGCACTACCTTGAGCTTGAGGCCTGCCAGAACTACATAGTGAGACCCTGGGGGGGTGGGGGAAGAGAGAAAAGAAAAGGAAGCAAGGGAGGGAGGAGGGAGGGAGGAAAAAAGGGAGGGGGAGAGAGTGGGAGGAATGTACTGCTCTAGCAGGGCGTAACAGTGCACACCTGTAGTCCCAGAACCACTCAGGAGACTGAAGCAGGAGAGTTGCTCTGAGTTCAAAGTCAGCCAAAGAAAGACAATGTTCTGTTATGCAAGATGCTCACAGTGGATGAAGAATGCCAGGGACATCACTATTTCTTCACAACTTCCTGTGAATTCATAATCATTTCAAAAGAAAAAATGATTTTAAAACTGAGGCCACAGGCCATGGAGATAGCTCAGCAGCATGAGTGCCTACCTGGCAAGCACAATCCCAAGTTTGATCCCTGGTACCCATTAAATAAAAGTAAAAAAACTGAGGCAAAAAAAAAAAAAAACTTAATCCCCAAAAACTAAATAAGTAAAAGGACTAGAATTTTTTTTTTTTTAATGACAACTTAAAAAGAAGGAAAGAAAAATAGCTTCCACACTTGAAACTAGAGTTAGCCTGGCTCCTGGGTGAATGAAGGTCACTCAGGAAGGATCAGGTTATTTCTGAGAAACATCAGCCCACTGCCCAAGCCAGGAAGGACACAGACCTGAATGGCACAGTGTGACATGGGCAGCTCTCCACATGTACTGCTGCCTCTGCCAAGCAAAGCAGGTGCGACCAGCGCCGGTGAGCGCTCGCCCCTTACCTTTGCCCCCAGTGGTCAGCAGGAACTAAAAGGGGACCTGAAGGAAGCAGTCAAAGGAGCTACACCTGGAGTTGAACCAGTCCTCAGTGAGCTCCACACATATGCCCGGTGCTGAGGCTCTGCCGAGGCAGGAGACAGCCAGGGGCACACCCTGACTGCGGGAGAACAGCTAGCTCGGTGCAGTCGAGGCAGGCAAAGGAGGACCTGCCCTAGACCCCACTGCCTCTGCCCTCAGTGAGATCTCCTTGGTTCACTCATGTCAGCCCACTTTCTGGGCATGCGCTTGGTGCTAGGCACAGGGACAGTCATGAAGGGATGATGTGGCCACCAAGATAACCAGGGTCCCTGCAACACAGGGGACACAAAGCCTGCTGGAAAACACAGTACTACAAGCAAACGCCCCTGACCCAGAGAAGTGCCAAGCCAGGTAGGAGAGGGGCACAGCAGCAAGGTGACAAGGGCCCAATGAACTGGAGACTGGCTCCTGGGGACCAGGGGCCTTCAGAGTGTCCCCAGGATTCTCAACTCCACCCAGCAGGGTGGAACATTTCACCACTCCCACAATGGAGGCACCAAGTGTATAAACATCCTCTGGGTCACAGGAGAGTCCCACAATCTGCTGGTGTCTGCTGGCTGCTGTGGGACAGCCTGAGCCGCTATCAGCCAGCAGGCACCGCCCCATCCCATGGAGGCAGCTCCAGTTCAGGCAGGACTGGCACAGAACAAGTCTAGTATTGGTGGCCAGCTGTATGAGAAAACAGTAGTCACCCTCACTGTCCTGCCCACTGCCACTTTCTTTAAAAAAAAAAAAAAAAAAAATGGACAGACATGGCAGGAACTGAAGCCAGTAAACCTCCATCCAAAGCTTCACTTCACAGTTATACACACTTAGTTTCACAAAATACACAAAGGGAACACATGTTGTCCTGGAAACTGCATCCCATAGCAAAGGATGTAAACCTGAACAGAGGACGCCTGTTCTTCTGAAGAGCAAGCGAAGGGGCAGAGGTCTACCCTCAGATCCCCTGCCAAGTTTGAAGAGCCAAGGGAATACAGGGGAGGCCGGCCCAACAGCCCTCATCAGGAGGTAAGGTTGCCACATTCCTCAAAGTAAACATTAACGCTAAAGCCATAAGCACCAGAGTCAATCAATTATCTGCTGGATAGCAAGCCAAAAATAAACACACAAGACAAAAAAGTAACTATCTTAACCCAGGGAAAGGGACACCTCTGCACACCAAAACCAGGCACTCCCTCAGAAGCCTTCGAAGGCCATGCTTTCTGACCCTTTCCACCAGCATGGTGTGGTCCCACCTGGGGACACTGACTGGGAGGGCCCTTGCCTGCAGGGAAGCAGGAACAAGTCTCCACACTCCACAGGGCTGTCGGGGCTCCCTAGGGGAATGAGTCACTTTAGTATCAGTGGGTCAGATCTAATCAGCGGCAACGAGCTGCCAGAACCGGGCCACCAGCGCCGTTTGCCTGAACACGGGGTCTCCAGGTTCCACGCTCAAAGCACAAACATCCATGCTGTGTTGGAAAGGGCTGGGTTAAATGCTCCATTACTAGAAGACTGAGATGACATCATGCCAGGGAGGGGCGTCTAGGCAAGAAGACCCCGGACTATGTGCCACAGACACCAACCCTGCAAGCTTGTCCTCGCTCCTAGATCCCAACACTCCCAGACCCCTCACTTCCGCCTGAACCCCCACCCAACAAGCTCCACTCCCCAGCCCAGGCTTCACACTTTACCCTCCCCACCGCCATCCAGGTCCACACCGCCAGGCCCCCGTCCTGTACCGGGGCTCTGTTCCCATCCCCAACCCCGCTCCCACATTTCCACACTGCACCCCAGGATGAGCGCCCCCCTCAGATCTTTGACCCCACCACCAAATATGTACCCGCAGATCCCCGCGCCCTCCGCACATCTAACACCTCAGGACCCGCTCTGCACCGTAGCCTGCGCCTCCAACTCACAGCCAAGTCCGCACCCCAGCCCCCCCCCGACCCTGCCGGAGACCCCTGCCCCATGGCCAGATTCATACCCTGAACTCTGCCCTACGCCCCGCCCTCGGACCCACAGCCCAGCCGTGCATCTGCAACCCGGGGCTCCCGCTCGCACCCAGGCCTGGACCCCAGACCTCGCGCGCTCCACCCGAGCCCCCGGCCCGCGCCCCCGCCCCGGCCGCCGAACTCACAGTTGCGGATGTCCGAGATGAAGACCGCCAGGCCCCGCATCCCGTCCCCCTTGGACACGGCCGGCATCTTCACACCCCGGGGTGGCCTCGGCGGCGGGCGGGAACTACACCGGGCGCGGGTGGGCGGCCTCACGCGGGAGCACCGACGCCGACGACAGCCGCGAGCGCGAGCCCTGCCCGCCGCGCCCAGGGCCGCGCCGGTGGCTGCTCTCTGGAGCCCGGCCGGTGCCGTGCAGGACCGCCCTGGCGGACTCCACAGAGGAGCCGGGGGCCTTGCGGCCGGCCGGGACCGCTAGGGGCTCTGGACGGCGGAGCGCCTACACAGGGCCTCGTCGCGGAGCCAGGCGACTGAAGAGGAAGCGCTTTCTCAGGGCTTCTCTGGGCCCTGTGCCTGGAACTGGCCCAGACCCGCCAGGGAGACCTTTGTCCCCGCCGTGGCACAGCGCAGCAGTCCCAGTGAGAGGTCAGGCCAGGTAGAGGAAGAGGCAGGCCCTCTCCGGGGCCAGACACCCCACTGAGGCCCCTGGTCCCCTAAGGGACCGGGACCCAACTGGTAGCCGCCTCAATCCTTGCAAGGCTGCAGATTCGACACCTTCCGGAGGCCAGGAGTGGAGCCCGCTGTGGCCACACCAGAAGACTGACTGACTACCCGCAGGAACGGTAGAGGAAGTCCCTAGAGATGTTTCTTTCCAGCTTGTCCTCTGTCATCAGAATGCTCCGCCCCACACCCACCTGAAGATATGCAGGGCTGATTCTGAATACAAAGAGTCTGCCACGCGAAGCTGGCTTGCTGGGCCGGAGGTTTGCTGAACTTGGGGCGGGGGCTGCAGGGGCTTCTCTAAGAAAGGGCTGGAGCAGCAGGTCCCCCCTCCTCCCGCTCTGAAGACCCCACCTCAGTGTTGTCTCTAAGACCCCTGCAGTTGCCCTGCTGTGCACTCAGGTGTGGCCAGGGATCCCACAGGAGCCCCCTTCTGCCGGGTCCTTCACGCTCTTGTCAACTGTGCTATCCAGCCTAACAGGTCCTTCCGATGATCTCAATTTCCACCCTAGCCTGGGGTCTGAGTACACACCTGGCCCCATCTGGCTCCTATGACCCCTGAACTGCCTGTTGGTTTACACATAGGCTTTCTGAAATCTCTTCAATGCTTCAGGCTGTAATCCTTACATGAAGGATTAGGGGTTAGGGGTCTGGTCCAGGTGTGACTGGTGCCCTGAGGGACTCAAGCTACCCTGTGGTCCCCAACAGTGACTTGTCAGGGAAGGCCAATCTCTGGGAACGTATCTTCCCTTGCCACACTTGGGGTGCCAGCAAGTACAGGACCCCTGAGGTGGGCAGGTAGACACTTCAGATGAAGCCAGGCAGCCTGTAGGGCAGTGACATGCCCAAACTTGTAATGGCTCATCTGAGGGGCAGAAGGGTTAACTGCCCATCCATATCTTATTGTGCAAAACTAAGCCCAGAGCAGAAGCAGCTGGATTCAGACAGTTGTGAAATGGCCACGTGGTGAATGCATCCCCACCCCCCAGCCCCAGATGTCTTCTAGGAGAACTGGAACGCTGCTTCTGCTCAGTCAAGAAGAGTCCTGGTGTAGTGACAGTAACTAGAGCACGCACCCTTACCTGAGCCCCAGAGGCACCCTACAAAGGGGAGGCAGACATCCCTGAGCAGAGGAGAGACCAAGATAATGGCATCACAACCCTGTCCTGCAAGTCCTCCCAGAACATAACAGTAAAACGGAGGAAGAGCTTCTCTCAGGTCAGAGGTTTCTGGACCCCAGATTGGATCTCACAGAGGAAGGCCAACAGCCAGGCCTGAGAACATGGCTGGGATCCACACACAGGCAGCAGCAGCAGCAGCTTCCCGTGGCTTCCTGGTGGGAACAGGGCAGAGCACAGGGACAGGAGGGGCTAAGCAAAGACCCTGGCACTCCTATCTGCAGCTGTGCTGCTGACACCCAGCTCGCCCATAGGGTCTTGTGTAGTCAGGTATGCCTGGGTACAGGCTGATCTCTGGCTTTTCCTTTTCCTACTGGGCATTGAACATGGGGCCTGGTGCCTACTATGTAAGACTCTACCACTGAGCCATATCCTCAGGCCTTTTAATTTTATTTTGAGAGAGGGTCGTGCTAAATTTCCTGGACTGGCTTTAAACTTTCAATCCTCCTGGCTCAGCTCCCAAGTAGCTGGGACTACAACCAAATACCGCCATGCCCAGCTAATGTTGACTTGGTTCTTTGCAGTTTTGGTTATTTTTGCTTTTTTGAGATAGACATGATCTCACTATATAGTTCAGGCAGTCTTGGGCTTACTAAGTAGCCCAGGCTGGCCACAGGATAGATCCTCCTGCCTCAGCTTCTAAGTGCTGGGATTATAGGCATTTGTTGCTATACCTGGCTGTTGGGAAGGGAAGTTAAACACCCTAGGCAGTTCTGGCATGTGACCGGGTTTACCTGATCCTGGACCAACCCAAAGCCAAACTTTGCACCCCTCATGGTATGGAATTCTAGCCCTTCAGTGCCCCTGCCCAACCAGGCTGGAGTAGAGTGTGGAAAGATCCCTCTGCAGCGGATCTCACCAGCCCAGGCCCACATGAACAGCCGTGGATCCGGTTGAAAATTTTTTCTGTCTCAAATGTGTAAGAATGGAGGCCACACTGCCAAACAAGTGAACCTCAAAACACAGTGACTGGGCTGGAGAGATGGCTCAGTGGTCTAAAGCACCTACTTGAAACAAGCTTGGCAAAGCACAGGGACCGCGGTTCGATCCCCAGCACCACATGGGGATCGAACCACATGGGGATTACAGACATGTGCCACCATATTTGGCTCCTATGTGATGGGATTTTGGTCAACAGGATGTAACTGGAAACCTCCAGACTACATGTGAATAAGGAGATTGTTCTCCACCTTATTCCCCTGTCCCCTAGTCTGCACGTCAGGACAGGTGGATCATGTGCCCAGAATCCAGGGCTGGGTGCCATGTGTCAAGGGACGAGAAGCCTCCTGCTGGCCTGGCTGTGTGCACTGGTGGCCATTCTTCAAGAATGATAAATTCTCTCTTTAGTCACTGTGGTTTTTTTTTAAAATATTTATTTATTTTTATTTATTACATTTATTTATTGTGTGTGTGTGTGGCCAGCTCAGCCCACCAGGGGGCGGGGCTGGCTGGCATGTGGTGCTGGGGATTGAACCGTGGTCCCTGTGTTTTTGCTTAGCTTAGCTTGTTCTAAGTAGGTGCTTTAGACCACTGAGCCATCTCACCAGCCCCCTTGTTGTTTTTGCGGTACTGGGGATTGAACTCAGGACCTTGTGCTGCCAGGCAAGTGCTTATTCTACTGAGCCATCTCCCTGGCCCTGTTGAGCCATTTCAAAAAGACCAAAAAACAAAATTAAAAAAAACCCTCCCAAAAGTCACACAGCCCAGCCTTGCTGCATGGAGGCTATGAAACAAGCATTCTCCCAGCACCACACATCCCCAAAAGCAGGAAGTTCAACCTTTTGTTTTTTAACTTTTATTTTATTAGGACATGTTTGCAGCACATGCATTTTACAATCATCTTAGGGAGTTGATACAGCTATGTAATGCAGCTTGTTTCTTTTTTCTTTTTTCTTTTTTCTTTTTTCTTTTTTCTTTTTCTTTTTTTTTTTTTTTTTTTTCTTTTAAATCAAGGAATCCTATCTTGAAAGGAAAAATGTAAACTAAGAAACATCACCAGCCAGGGCCACAATACATACACAGAAAGCACCAGGCACACTGCTGGTCTTGCCTGACCAGGACAGCAGCACCTGTCAGGAAAAAGGAAAAGAGAGGTCCAAGCTCCACAGGACAGGTATTCTTAGAACAGACCTGAGAGGACCCACACTGGCACCAAGACCAGGCCGGCTATAGACCCCTCTGCACATGATAGGTTCTGTAGTGTTACGGGGAACAGAGGTCCATGAGGGGCTGTGGCTCCCTGCCAAGAGCAAGGCTTGAGAGAGCCAAGTGACAATGGCCACCCGAAGAGGAGCAGGGCTGACCATGTCAGGAGTCCCAGGTGTAGCTGCACTGGGAGGAGTTGTCTCCAGGGGTCCCTGACCAAGATGGTGGTGGTCAGATTCTTTCATTCCAGACTCTGTGGTTAGATAGGGGGAATCAGAAGCACCCCTTTCTTATTTACTTTTTTTTTCTCCCTATGCCTTCAGGGCAGGTTTGGCTGGCTTGAGTTGTGGGGATCGAACCACAGCAACCTGAGCCTGAGCCTGACTGCTTTGTTGAAGCAGCCACTGAAAGACTGAGCTAAGGGGCAGGCCCCCTCTTAATTACTTCTTGCTTTGGGGGAGCAGTGTTGGTATTTTGAGTGGACAGAAGAAGACGACCCCTGTTGATTTGATCTTTGGCTACTGCCTGTGACAATGGCGAAGATACTGTTGATGAGAAGTCTTTGAAACAGGCTGACAACAGGCACCACAATAATAAAAAGGTGAATAGAAAGAGGGGGACAGGGACCAGGAAGATGGCTCAGTAGAATAAGCACTTCCCTGGCAAGCGCAAGTGTCTGAGTTCAATCCCCGGTTCTGCAAAAAAAAAAAAAAGAAAGAAAGAAAGAGGAAGACAGGCACTAGAAAAGGAAAAACCCAAGATAGAGTAGTGGACTTCCATGAATCCCATGACCTGTACAGGGTGTCCCGGGACAGCAGTTGTACTGCCTGGATCTCTGTCTATTTCCTGCAGAGCTACAGGTACACTATCATGATTAACTGGGGTAAAAGTACAACATATTGAATGAAGCATGTTGCATGTGTCCCCTCAGGCAGCTGATAAGGAGATCCAAATCCATGCCATTCTGTAAAATTGCTTCTTTTTCCATATAGTATGTTTCATCCATTAATAAGATCATAGCTCTGAGTGGCACTTAATGCATGGGCTAGCTGTTGGGCTAAGGCCGCTATGTACAAGCGTACCTTATCTATGTATAAGCGTACCTTAATGGCAGCTACTCCCAGAGGGTCACTGCTAGAGGGTAAAACCACCAGGAAGTACGTTTTTATACAGTGCCATGCATGGTGGATTGCATCCCAATTTAGGGATTATTCTAGGAGAGAGGGTATAGTCAGGAGTAAAAGGACATCCCTACATGCGCATCCTGTCCATCAACACGTAGATGTGGCCAGCCATACTGGATAAATGTCCAGACAGGGCCACATCTCTGGGAACTGTTCCATGGTATTTTTTGCATATC